TAAGATCTGCCATTCTTTCCTTTGCATAGTCAGTTCCTCCAATTATGTAAAGAGATTTTTTTTAAAAAAACACCCCAAACCTTCCCATTAAGATAACATCACTTGGCTGGTTAGTGTGTCTGATCAGGAGCTCAGAGACTAGAGGCATCAGCCTCCAGGTGGGACCTTGGTATACATGAAAAAAGAGGAAGAGAAACTAAACCAACCAAGGAAGAGCCTACAAAGGAAGTTTACTAATAAAGGGCCAAAAGTTGAAAACATCAATAATTATAGACAAAAGTACACGTGTTTATTTCAAAAACAGTGAAAAACCTTGTAGGGGTTCAAGTAAAGCCTCAATCTGGAACTGAATGACACAAAACGATCTATGAGGCCACAAATGTATCTGGCCTTAAGTCAGTGGAAGTTACATATATTGGAGAAAATAATATTGCCAATATGTACCTTCCAGTTTAGGTCCTAAGATTAAAAGTACAATCACCTTACTATCTCCAATATATGTAATTGCTTCTGACACAAGGCCAGATAACATTTGTGGCCCCACAAAAAATTTTCTGGTGTGTCATTCAATTCCAGATTGGAACATTCCATTTTTGGTCCTATCAGTTGTTTATTGGCTTACAAGTGTAACAGGGGCTTTGTTGTATGTTGTATTCTGTACTATTTGACCTCTGATGAAGGCTCTTTTGGGGCCAAAACGCATCAGGTAATATATGGTTCCATTTGTGCGTTTGTCACTTTGATTATATTATGAGGCTTTGCTTGGGCCCCTACAAGGTTTTTAACTGTTTTTAAAATAAATACGTGTACTTTTGTCTATAATTATTGATGTTTTCAACTTTTGGGCCCTTATTAGTTTTCTAAACTTCCTTTGGAGGTTTTGGGTTGGGACCCTGGTATCCCCCAGAATTACAGCTCATGTCCAGCCTACAGAAAACAGTTCTCCTGGAGAAAATGAATGCTTTGGAGGGCGGATATTTTGGCATTCTTCCCCATGAAGGTTCCTGTCCTCCCCAGGCTCCATCCCCATGTCTCCAGGAGTTTCCCAAGCTGGATCTGGTACTCCTAAAGGTCAAGGTTTCCTTGCTCGAAAGCCAGTCGAATCCGACTAGGGTTGTGGTGCTCATCTCCATTTCAAAGCCGAAGAGCCAGCGCTGTCCGAAGACGTTTCCGTGGTCATGTGGCCGGCATGACTAAACACCAAGGCGCACGGAATGCTGTTACCTTCCCACCAAAGTGGTACCTATTCATCTACTTGCAATTTCTTGCTTTCAAACTGCTAGGTTGGCAGGAGCTGGAACTAGAGCTGGGAGCTCACTCCATCATGCGGCACACTCGGGTCTCGAACTGCTGAACTACTGACCTTCCACAGCGTGCAGTTCAGCGTCTACCCCCCCAAAAAAGCCCCTGCTGCTGGCCAGAGGGGACCTGGCAACCCTATCAGAGACCCGTGTTGAAATCCCTACTTAGCTGTGAAGCTCACTGGGTCACCTTTGGCCAAGCATTGTTTCTCAGGCTGACCCACTTCATAGGGCTTATGGGCGGGGGATGGCTGTATTTCCTGCCCTGAGCTCCTGGAAAGGAAGGGCGAAATAAAGACGTGTCAGTAGCTTTTATAGGTATTTATTATACCAGTTCAAAGTGGTTATCAGCAAGAAAACAATCATTAAGAAGACTGATGAAAAATTAGAACTGGCCACTGAGATCAGTTGGTCTTTGTGAAAATGAGGAAGACCATCCTCACCTCCTCCAGCTGGGCAGTCCATAGCCAGGGCACTACAGTGGTAACAGCCTTTCTGTTTCCTTAGTCCAGCGACAGTGTCACAGGGAGAATCTGGATTTAAGCCAAAGCTTTTGCTTTATGAAATGGCAAGATGACACTCGATGTACCAGTACTGCGAATGCACCCGTTGGTGCGTTCCAAATGTATGAAGCAGAAGCACGTTCCTGGCAGACTAATCAAACCCTGTTTGCTTTTCCAGCTTTACCATGGGCAAAGCTCTGTAGAACGTTTATCTAACGATATGAAAATGTTGTGTCCTGCTTATTTTTAGCATGAAGCAACTAACATCATTAAAGTATATGCAGCAAATACAGTCCTAAAATCGCAGATTGTCCCCCCCTCCCCAAAAAACAAGCCATTAAAAAGTAGCAGTGCCATACTTACAAACCTGCAAGACCAGGGCAGTGAATTCGCCGCGTGAGCCTATGCAGTATGTGCCACTTGTCCCAAGGCTGGGGGGGGGGGGGGGGGGGGAGAGATGCTAATTTCCATTATCAGGGAATCCAAAAGGTGCAATGTTCTAGACCTCTGGCCCCAAAACCAAGCAAGCACATGTAGCATTCAAAGGCCAGTAGAAACAGAGCAGGCTTGTGCAACGTTCTAAGTCTTCCTGAAGAAAGTGCTCTTATCTACTTCCTCTGGCAGGCCGTTCCATAATTTGGGGGTTTCTACAGGAAATGCTGTAATAACTTTAATAAAGGGCAGGCATTCCTTTCAAAAAGAAAAGCTTAAGCAGACAGGCCTGTAGCCAGGATTTTTTTGAAGTTGGGCATCTATGGGGGGCACGGGCTAATCAAATGAAAGGTAATTTAATTCAGTTTCTGGGGGAAATAGAGAGGGGCTGTCTGGCTCCATGTGGCCACCGTAGCTGCTTGGGGCCCCTTGGCTGGACGGAAAGTCGTGGGGCCTTGACAGTAAGTAGCCACAGGAGAGATATACGGGGGGCCCCATGTCATGAAAGGCTTTATAGGTCAAAGCCAGCACTTGGAGCTTCACGCAGAAGGAGACTGGTAGCCAGTGAACTGGTTTTAGTAATGGTGCGGTCTTATGTGTCGGGCCCCAAACAACGGGGGACAGTCTCGTGGTTCCTGTGATGGCTGTGAAGTCCTGAGTCTGGCCAGACAAGGTGATGGGAGTTGAAATGTCCACATTCAGGCTTGTCAGCCTCCAGGTGGGGCCTGGTTATCTCCTGGAATTATAGCTGATCTCCAGACGACAGAGATCAGTTCCCCCGGAGAAAATGGCCACTTTGGTAGGTGGACCCTATGGCATTTGTGGGACCCCGCGCCCACAAATCTCCTGGCATCTCCCAGCCCAGAGTTCGCATCTCCAACACTGGTGCAGAGATCACCCCCATCAGCTCAGCCAGGAAGGCCACTGGTGAGCAGAGTGGATGGCAAACCAGTAGAATTCCTAACCCTGTCCCCTGGTACCCAGCACCAGGCACAAAAGACGAACAAAACTGGCTACTCGGTGCTCCAGGTTATCTTCGGAGGACGCCCAGAAGATTAGCCACCTCCCCTTCCCAGCCTTTCAGTCAAGGAGGATGAAGGTCTGCAAACCCCTCTGGAGTCAACTGAGAGGAAAGTGGCTGGCCTGGTATGCTCTAGCCAGGTTTCAGTCAGGCTTGCATGTCAACATCCTCCTCCGAAATTATGGAGGAGGGTGATGTTATTTCTAAACCAGCCAGGCATCCATCAACATCAAGGTCTACCTGGAAGGTAGCAAAGAAGTCTCTGCGCCTACATATTGAAGGATGGGGTGGAGATTAGCTTCTAATTGGACGCTGATACGGCCTGCTCTGCCATTTTACAAGTAATTTGAGGGGTTCAAAATACTGGGTTTATATTTATGGAGAGGCATTTCTAAGTATATGCTGCTTGCCTCTACAAGCTTATTTAGTAAAGGAAAGGAAATAATTGTAAACACTTCAAATTTGACACAGTATAACATGCAAATCAGTATTTTCCTATTGTATATATTTTCTTTATATATGTGTGTGCATGTGCACCTGGAAGTCATGGCAACCTCTGCTGACTGACCCCTACTGGGGGCCTGTAGGATATTCAGAGAGGTGGCTGAATGAAGCCTGCCCCTGCCTCCCGACTGCTGGTATTCCAAGGAGGTCTCCCATCCAAGGACTTGCCAGAGTCGACCTTCCTTAGCTTCCAAGATCTGATGAGATCGGGCTTGCCCGGGCTACCCAGATCCGGGTGTATTATTGTATATATTTTCTTAGTGTTATCAACATTTTTGGTAATTTTTTTTGCTATTTATCTTTTGGACACTTCTTGTAATTCCTGTAGATGTTTTACATCTGTTTGTTACCTATTTAATCTTCTGTGGAGTTAATAATTGCTAGTATGTTTTCATCACAGTGTGTTGTGATTTTGGTTTGAACTTCGACACCTCTCAGGGACTGAAAGAAATGAACCATCAGTTTACTTGGATCTCAGATACTTAGAGGCTAAGGAATTTATTTCTTAGACTAAACAGGGCCCGTTCTGTTGCGAGCCCTTTCTGAAGGTGACAGCAGCACTAGTTTTGTGGTGTGGTATGCCTTGGAGAAAAGGGGTCTGCCGATTACAATAAATGTATATGAACCGGCAGATAGAGTACTTGTCCTGCACCGGTTACATTGAGCTGTGTGAGTTATTGTGGGCAAATCTTTGTGGATGCAACCTGTTTGAACTTTGGATATTAGGATCTCAGTGCTGGAAATCAAAGCTGTCTAGATGGAGGCTTTACTATTACATAAAATGTCTTGACCTTTAACGAAAGACTAGAAGCATAATTTACTTGTGAGAATAGTTTCTGATTTTTTTATAACATAAAAAAGGCAAAAATATATGGCATAGGCAATCTGATGAAGATGCAAGTTGTCTGCTGTTTCTGAAAGGAATAAAGAAATGGAACTAGGGTTGCCCGCTCTCGGTTGGGAAATTCCTGGAGATTTGGAGGTGGGGCGTTCGAGAGGGTGGAGTTTAGCAAGGGGATGGGCATCAGCTTGGTTTAACGTTCCAAAGTAGCCATTTTCTCCTGGGGAACTAATCTCTGTCTTCTGGAGATTAGTTTTAATTCCAGGAGATCTCCAGGCCCCACCTGGAAGCTGGCAACCCAAAATGGAATGTGGTTGAATTTTGCCAAAGCAATTGCATGTGATTAACTATTTGTTCTGGTGCTCATATATAATTGGGTGCTTTGGTCTCTTTGTTAGACACTATAGATGAGTACTTCGAGTACGAAGCGGAAGAGTTCCTTGTCAACTTGGCCTTGCTGATTACTGAAGGTAGAACACCAGAATATTCCATCAAAGGTAGAACCGAAGGCTTCCACTGCCCTCCAGCCCAATCGGGTCAGCCAGTAACAACCAAACATGAATGCAGCGACAAACTGGCCCAGGTATGACAACTAATATTCTCTATTGTTGTTGACTCTGCTTTCTAAACTAGTTTATCCAATAAATTAAATAGCAAACATGTGAAGGTAGTGTTGGACCCTTCAGAAAGACACATTATTTGTAGATAAAAACTTTTTTTACTAAATGTTTTCAGTATTTGCAATTCAAGGACACACTGTATCCCTGTCCCTAAAGCACAATAGTGAAAATGAAAACTATTTGCTACTAATATCAAATAGCCTGCTTTATGCATGGGTGAGACATCTAGATCAGGGGTGTCAAACATGTGGCCTGGGGGCCAGATGAGGCCCCCAGAGGGCTTCTATCAGGCTCGCAGTGGAACTGGCTGTCTTCTGCTTCTTCTTCCAGTTCTGCTGCTGCTGCATCATCGTAGGTTTGTAGGTTACAGATACACACCTGAACAGCATACTCAAGATTGCAACAGCACAGACATTTTGATGCAATAATTCAGAGCAAAAGGTGTCAGTTATCAGATACTGTTAAATAAACAAAATATTGCAAGGGTGCTAATGTTTTAAGCATGTCTTTTGACACCCCTGATCTAGATGCTTGCTTAGGGAAAGGTTAGATGCACAGGAGTTCTCCAGCCTTTGGAAAAGAAACAGGAATTGTGCTTTCCAACTTGCATCCCCTGAAAAGGGGAATATATATGTATGTATATTCTGTCCTAGCATCTGGGTACCCCAGAGGATGTAAACAGTGAAATTAGGATAACATGGACAGAGACATACGCTAGCAATCCTGACTAAATTTCTGAATTGGGGTTCAAGTCTACTACTGAATCACCCCTCACTTGGTCATCTGAGCCGGCCTCGGCTGGGAGGGCGGGGTATGAATGTGATAAATAAATAAAATAAAAAATCTTAAGTTAATAAATATCCATTATATTTGGAAAACCATAGCATCTGAACATCTTTTGGGTATGCTGGCCATGGAAACTTGGAATGCTTTAGTCAATACCATCTTGTTGAATTTGGAGCGGTTCAAGAAAGAATTGTGCTTAAGAGGAGAACATGGAGTCACCTCTGTTCAGATATGTGTTAATAGGCTTCCTGTAATAACCTCAACATAATTGTACTCTGATTCAGCTGAAGGAAAAAAGGGGAGTAGCTGTGTAACCTTGCTGCAGCCAAAACATTGGAACATCTTGTGGCATCTTAAAGGCTAATGAATGTAATGTGGCACTCGGCTTTTTGTAAACTGGAGCCCAGTTTGTCAATTGTGTGATGGTTTTCATTCAGTAGGCAGAGCAAGCAAGGCACCACAAAAGGAGAAGTAGGGAGAAAGGTACGGCAAAGAGAGGTCAGAAGGTGCAGTTTCCTGGGGACACAGGTGTATTCATTACACTGCAGAGCACAGAGAAAAACAAGACCCAGGCGCAAGAGTAAACGATCCACTCAGAGTTCCCAGTGAATGAATTAGCAACGTTAGAACACAGCTGACAAAAACCTCTAAGGAGGAATAGTTCCTCTTCCTGGACAGTCCTGATGCAAGTAAATAGAAATAGAATCAGGTGTTTAAAATGTTAGGAAACTAGTATGGGAGAATTTCAACCCCTTTGGACATTCTGTAATAGAATTGAAGGCCACGGTACTTCAGTGGAAGAGTTTCAGAGGGAGGATGAATTGCAACTGATAATGAGGCTCAAGACAATGCATCCTCTTGGACTGAATGAAGACCTAGGTTTCCTGTCTTATTACCAATGCTGATTTCTCTATGCCTACTACTGCTCTGCATATCATATCATTCATCACATCATTGTCATTCAGCATCTGAAGTCACTCTGCTATCCAACTATAAGGACGGATGGACTCACATTCTAGCGATATCTGAAGAAATGAACAGTGGTGACTCATGGAAGCTTCTACCCTCCATGAATTTTGCTAGCCTTTAAGGTGCTCCTGGACTCTTGCTCTTTTCTGCTGCTGCAGACAAATACTGCCACCCATCTTGATCTATCAAGTTGGAACTCATTCTAGTTTGATGCTGTCAGACTGCAGGTGATGAGCGCACTTCAGAAAGTAATCGTTCCTCCTTATGGATGTACATGAACATACATCATTCAGGTTCATCCTAATTCATTGTCAGTGCTCAAGAATGGTTCATGTGTGCTTTGAGTGGATTCTTTACTCTTTTGACTGGATCTTGCTTTCATCTGTGCTGAGCTGTGCAATGG